TTAGAGCCCCCCCATCTCCTGACCCTCCTTAGATTTCCCAGTCCCTGCTTTGAGTCCCACCATCCCCGTGACCCTCCTTAGAGTCCCCCAGACCCTTGAGTGCCACCATTTCCTGACCCTCCATAGAGCCCCTCCAGACCCCCGACCCACCTTAGAGTCCCACCATCCCCAGACCCTCCGTAGTGGCCACAGTCCCCTAATCCCCTTGTAGAGTCAGTCCCCAGATCCTCTGCGTCCCCCCAGACCCACCGTAGAGTCCCCCAGACCCTCCTGAGAGTCCCACAGTCCCCCCGACCGTCCTTAGAGCCCCACAGTCCCCAGACCCTCCCACAGTCTGATGCTCCCCAGAGTCCCACAGTCCCCTTGGCCCTCCCTAGAGTCCCCCAGACCCTCCTTAGAGCCCCACAGTCCCCCTGACTCTCCCGAGTCCCCCAGACCCTTCTTAGAGCGGTACAGTCCCCCCGACCCTCCTTAGAGCCCTGCAGTCCCCGACTCTCCCTAGAGTCCCCCAGACTCTGCAGAGCCCCACAGTCCCCCCAAGTCTCCTTAGAGTCCCTTAGAGCCCCCCAGTCTCCTGACCCTCCTTAGATTTCCCAGTCCCTGCTTTGAGTCCCACCATCCCCGTGACCGTCCTTAGAGTCCCCCAGACCCTCCGTAGTGGCCACAGTCCCCCAATCCCCTTGTAGAGTCTCAGTCCCCAGATCCTCTGCGTCCCCCCAGACCCACCATAGAGTCCCCCAGACCCTCCTGAGAGTCCCACAGCCCCCCAACGAGCCGTAGAGCCCCCAGGCAGACCCACCAGCACTCCTGCAGCCAACTCCACCAGCTGCTCCACGAGGTTCCCAGAGCCTCGCCTGTCCCCTGGGGCCCCTGACGCTTGTGGCAACCACCTCCCTCAAACCCTGAGATCCAGGGCCCCATCTCTGAAACCCCCACACCTGACCCCCCACTTTCCATGTCCCTACAGCAGTCTGAGTCCCCACCTCGCCGAGACAGCCTGGCCTCCCTGTTCCCCACCGAGGAGGAGAGGAAAGGTGGGTGTCAGGGAGTACATGCCCTGAAGGATGGCAAGGGCGGGGAGGGGGCTCTGAGCTGCCGGGCCCCAGAGTCTCTGAGCAGGGGATGGGGAGGTGAGGGCAGGTTCAGGAGGACCCTGAATGTGACAGTGGGCAGGTGAGGCTGGGAATTTCGAGGGCAGGGTAGCCTCCCTGAGTGAGGCAGGCCCTGTATTCACATTCCACAGCACAGGTGGGTTGCCGTGTGCCAGCAGGTTAGATGCTGGCGACCCCAGTCTCAGAAGTCAGTGTGGGGGGTGGGGCTATAGTCCCAGGGACCAGTTGGGCAGTCTGGCAGTTCTGGGGCACGTTTCTCCTCATGCAAGGCTGGAGGGGCAGGAGGCTTGCAGTGACCCAGAGCCCACCCCCTCCCATCTTAGGGCCGGAGGCTGCGGGAGCAGCAGCGGCTCAGCAGGGCGGCTACGAGATCCCCGCCCGACTTCGGACCCTGCATAACCTCGTGATCCAGTACGCAGGGCAGGGCCGCTATGAGGTGGCAGTGCCTCTGTGCCGCCAGGCCTTGGAGGACCTGGAACGCAGCTCTGGCCACTGCCACCCTGACGTGGCCACCATGCTGAACATCCTGGCGCTGGTGTACCGGTGAGTGCTGCGGCTGGCCGTCGCTGGGGGAAGGAATAGCAGGGACTGATTGGGTGCATGTGCCAGCATGGAGCATCTGGGGAGGTCAGGGCAGGGGACAGCAGGAATGGGAGAGGAAGGGAGAGCTCTTGCTGTGAGAAGGGCAAGGAGGGAAAGAGGGAGGGGGACAGATCTAGGGGGAGGATGTCACTGAGCCAGGCAGAGAGGAGTCAGCATAGACACCAGGGAACCCAACAGTGCTGGCAAGAGACCTGGGGTGGCTAGAGGCTTGGCAGGGGTCTGGGGGTACAAGACTTAGAGACTTAAGAGGGATGGAGGGGCCCCCACAAGGTGCCACCCATGCTTGGTTCAGCCAGGTTCCCTGGGCCTGCCAGGATCAGCCCAGCCCCTGTGGCTGCAGCTGCCCCAAACCCCTGGCTAACCCCTTCCATCCCTGGGCCGCCCCCCTGCCCCCCACCCCACAGGGACCAGAACAAGTATAAAGAAGCCACAGACCTTCTCCATGATGCCCTGCAGATCCGGGAGCAGACACTGGGCCCCGAGCACCCTGCCGTGAGTGAGGCCCCAGGGAGGCGGGAAGGTGGAGCGGGGCTGTCCCCGCCCCTCCCTGACTTGTGCCTCCCCCACTCCCGTAGGTAGCCGCCACGCTCAACAACTTGGCTGTCCTCTATGGGAAGCGCGGGCGTTACCGGGAGGCAGAGCCCCTGTGCCAGCGTGCTTTGGAGATCCGAGAGAAGGTGCCATCTCCCTCCCCGACCCGGCGGAACCCCCTGTCCTGTGTAGCCCTCCCCATGCACCAAGCCCATACATCGTGACCTTGGTCCTTGGGTGCCCCTTGTGTTTGGTACTGGGAGACCCCAATTGGAGCCTCCGTCACCCAACCCCATCACTCTTGACCTTCTGAGATCCCAGTTTGATCTTGACCCTGACTCTGATCTCTCACTCCTCCCAACACCAACTGGATCCCCCCACAGCCTTTCTACCCCCTCGTGACAACCAGCACAAGCCCAACCCTGACCTACCCATCTGACCCTGTGCCCCACGAGTTTCTGGACCACCATGACCTCTGAGCTTGGTAATCCTATTTGATGGTCTAACTTTTGCCTCTCAGGTCACTGTCTGCTTTGATGTTACCCCTAACTCATGACCACTGTACGGCAGTGACGTCACACGTCCCAGCACTCCTGTATGACCCCTCTGACTTGTGACCCCTGGCCCCCAGGTCCTAGGCACTGACCACCCGGATGTGGCCAAGCAGCTCAACAACCTGGCCCTACTGTGCCAGAACCAGGGCAAGTTTGAGGACGTGGAACGGCACTATGCCCGGGCCCTGAGCATCTACGAGGCCCTGGGCGGACCCCACGACCCCAATGTGGCCAAGACCAAGAACAACCTGGTGAGGCCCGGTGCGGGGGGTGCATGCCCTGGGGAGGCACCTATTGGCTGGGTACAGAGCGAGCACCGTAGTCGGGGAGGGTCCCACCAGGCCAGGCCGGGCTCTCGGACCAAGTGTCCCATCAGACACGAGCTGGCTCAGCAAAGAGAACACAGAATCAGGAAATGCTTAAGGCCATGGTGGCCAGATGCCAGCCAGTGGAGGAGGAAGCTGGCAGGCTGAGATGGCAGCACTAGACAAGTATTGAGCTCAGTGCGACCGGCTCCCTTCTCAGCCTGGTTCCCACATAGCTAGTTCTTACAGCGACCCTGAGGTGGGAGCTGTCGCCCCACTTAGCATGTGAGGAGACTGAGGCACAGAGGCCATGCCACCAGCCCAAAGTAGAGCAACCAGGCTCAAAAAAGGGGTCGCCTGCCCTCCATCCCCCAGGCAGGAAGTGGGGCCGGGCTCCACTACTCTGCTCCAGGGTGAGGCTTTAGGCAGGGGAGGGATATGACCAGGTCCGCACATTAGAAAGTGAGACTGGGGCCAGGCATGGTGGTTCACACCTGTAATCCTAACACTCAGCACTTTGAGAGACTGAGGCAAAAGGATCACTTGAGGCCGGAAGTTCAAGACCAGCCTGGGCAACATAGCAAAAAACCCAAAGTGGGTTTTGTCTCTACCAAAAAACCCAAGTGGGTCTAGATGCAGTACTGAGAACTGGGGTCTGCAGTTCCTAGACTGGAGCCCAGATCTCCCTGACCCTCCCTCTCCACAGGCCTCAGCCTACCTGAAACAGAACAAGTACCAACAAGCGGAAGAGCTGTACAAAGAAATCCTCCACCGAGAGGACCTGCCCGCCCCGCTCGGTGAGCCTCTAGCCCCTGCCTTCCCTCCTGCTGGCTTCTCCCGGTCCCCACCTCAGTGTCCCCAATCTTGCCTCCTAGGTGCCCCCAACACAGGCACAGTGGGTGATGCAGAACAGGTGAGGACGGGCTGTGCTTCGGCTCCTGGGGTGGGCGTGGGGACTGCAGGGGCTCAGGGGACTGAGCAGCGTCCCCGGCCCCCCGCAGGCCCTCCGCCGCAGCAGCTCTCTCTCCAAGATCCGTGAGTCTATCCGCCGCGGAAGCGAGAAGCTGGTGTCCCGTCTCCGAGGCGAGGGGGCCACCGGGTAAGTGTTGCTCGGGTCAGCAACGAGCCCTGACAGCAGCGGGACCTGCAGCTCGTCCCTCTCCCTGTCCTGCTCGAGAACCTTCCATGGCTCCCAGTACCACACACAGATCAAACCCTGTGCTGGAAAGGTCCCTCCTGGATTCACGTGTTTCTTCCCTGCTGCCTCCTTTGCAGAATGAAGAGAGCCATGTCACTCAACACACTGAACACGGATGGTGCGAGGGCTCCTGGGACTCAGGTGAGGGGGACATCTGAGTCAAAGATGGAGTGGGGCCACGTGGGCAGGCAGAGATAAGGTAAAGGCAGGGCAGTGGGGCTGGTGTCGGAGTCAGCAGGGGATGGGTAGTGTCAGAAGAGACCCAGGATGGGAGCAATGATGCATTTTACTTGAGATACAGGTGAGGGGGGTGGACAGGTTGGCTGCCCGGCTAGACCGGGAGCTGCAGGGTGGCCATAGCACCTGCCCCTCACCTCCTCCCATCCCCTGTGCCTGCCTCCAGTTCCCCAGCTGGCACCTGGACAAGCTCCCTCGGCCCCTCAGCGCCAGCACTCAGGACCTGAGCCCGCGCTAGCGTCGGGTGGACAGCATTGGCTCCGGCTCTTCAGGAGCAGTGCGGGAGGGAGGGGCTGCAGGGGTCTGTCAGCTCCTGGACTCCCCTGCCTCTGGGTACCTGGTGGACAGCTACCTTCTCCTTCGATTAAAGGCTTTGGATGTGACAGTAAGGAATGTCACCTGAGTTCATCAGACCTTCTAGCACCGCCCCTGGGCTCCAGGGCCAGGCAACACTCAGTAGTCACCAGGAACAGTTGACGGCCTTGCCCTGCTCACAGCTGCTGAGCAATCTGCTCTATCCTCTGCAGTGTCTCCTGTGACTGCAGCTGCTCCAGGCTGAGCAGAGACAGGCCCAGCTGATCCTCCTGCAGAGAACAGAGGAAACGGCTGTCAGGAAGGGGGTGGGGGCCCAGGGAGCTGCAGCACTTCCCCACCCACTCGCCACTGACGGGGATTAGGAGTCTGATGCATGAGGGACGGGATGTTTACATTTGGAAATGTCCAGATACTCTAGTGCAGGCCATCCCTGTCAACAGAAGATGGGGGCTGAGGGAGGGGCCAGCCAGGGAGCCGGGGAAGGATGGCTTCCCCAGGCCAGCAGTCTCTCCTGAAAAGGCCCGATGCCTCCTCACCCCAAATTCTCTCACCCTGCCTTGCCTCGGCCACCTGCTGGCCCCTCAAATCTCCCCCCGATCCCCAGAGCCTAGCACATAGGTGTACTTCTCTTGGTTGAGGACAGGTGGGTTGGGGAGTGGGGAAAAATCTAAGGGGCCTTTCTGGAGGAGGGGCCCAGCCTCACCCGGTGGAAGGGTTGTGCCATCTGCCGTAGGAAGTACTTGGCCACCTGGACACCCTCGTCCACAGTCAGGTTGAGGTTGGCATCTGTGAGGTGCTCCTGGATCCAGCGGGGCAGCTTCCCCCGCTTGTCTGCACGGGCAAACCGCTGGGGGCAGAAGCGCAGGCCAGGGAGAGAGCGTCATGACCAGAGGCCAAGGGATCCTGGGCTACCCTCCACCCTACGACCCACCCCATCTGGGAAAGGAGCGGGCAAACAGCCTGGTTCTTGGAGGCTGGGGTGGGAGCACAGGGGCACCCCCGAACCCGCACCTTGTCGGCAAAGACCATGAGGCCGTAGTCCGTCTTGCCCCTGATGGCTCGTCCCACGCACTGCGCCGCGTGGCGCATGGCATCAAAGGTGAGAAAGTCATTCTCACGGATCTGGAACTGGTCCCGCAGGTATTCCAGCCGTGCCTGCAGATTCGGAGGAGTCGGGGAGGTAGGGGAGCCATCCATCCCTCCCTTGGCCCTAACACTGTGGGACTCCCCAGAAGCCAGTGCTGCTCACCTTGAGAATGCGGCTCTGCGTGTAGACGTAGGGGACACCAAACATGATGACGGCCCGCCCGTAGTGGTGTACTGGTGGGCAGAGGAGAGGGGGCAAGGGGGTTACAAGTGCGGCTGGTGGGACTGGGACAGCGTCACGCGCCCCCAGGATGCTGTGTCTGCGTGGGGAAGAGAAAGGGTGTGCTCCTGCCGGGTGCCCAGGGACACAGAGGAGGGGAGGGCCCCTCTGTGCGCTCAGGCTGTGGGTGGGTGGTCCCCTGTGGAAGTGGACAGCAGAACCGGCAGGTGTTCTGGGGAAGGAGAGCCCAGTCCACTCACCGAAGTCGATTCCTTCGGACACTTTGCCCCGGGCCACTGACAGCAGGATGGCTCCTCGGCCGTTCTCGCAAGCCTGAAGTGGGGGAGGCCAAGATGCAAGTGGAGTCACTCCTCGGAGCTGCCTCCCCCACCCGCTCCACGCTAGCCCCACACACCCACCTCCTGGTACTTCTCCAGGGCGACGCTGGTCTCGGCACCATCCTGGGTCTCGATAAAGAGCAGCTTATTCCTTTGGATGTTCTCAAGAATCCCCTGGGGATGGACCCAGGGAGGTCAGAATGAGGGTGGCAGAGGGTGGGTTCACGGCATGGCCGTCTCGGTCACATCCAACTCTCCCGGGGCCTTCTGCATCACAGACCCTTTCTCTGGGCCTCAGCTGGGGAGGGAAGGTGGAACTGTCCAGCCTCACTTATTTGAGGAAACTTAGTGATCTGGGTGGGGAACCAGTAGCTGCTGGGTAAGGAGAACAGGCATGTGGCTCAAGGGGGTGGCCAATCAAGGCACCCCATCCCCTGCCAGCGATTGGTGGAGGGGCTGTGAGAAAGGCAGAGCCAATCAGAAGCTGCCCTGAGCTTTTCCATATGACCCTGTAATATGGACAGCGTGGAGCCAATGCAAGGACAGACAGACCAGTGGACAGAATGGAGAGTCCAGAAACACACGCCACCTGTGAAGTTCAGTAGGGACAGCTTTTACCAGAGCAAGTGGATTTCCGATTGGAACCTAGATATGAATCTTGACCCCTACCCCACACCATACACAAAGATGAAGTTGAGGTGCCTCAGAGACCTAGATGTGAAAGCTAAAACCATAAACTCCTAAAAGGAAACACAGAAGCCTCTCTTCATGACCTACGGGTAGGCAAAGATGTCTTAAGTAGGACACAAAAGGCCCTTGGGCTATGGGGACTGGGTCACTTTTCCTGCCTTGTGGAAGCTGCCCATTGGAGGACAAGGCTGATGTCCTGGCTGTAAGGAGGAGGTTCCTGCCTCTCATGCCTGCTATTCCCTGATCCTTGGATTAGCCAAGTTAACTCATTTCACCCCAAAGTGCTTTCACCTACTCCTGAAAGCCTAGACATGGTGTGCTCAGAGACACGAAGTGCAGGGCGGCCCCTCGCGTCCCACCCACGTCCTGCTGTCACCCAGGGCCTGGCTGTGGTGAGCCCTACTGCCAGAAAGCCCCACAAGCTCCTCCACCTGCTTCCCTGAAGACCCTTGAGAGACTCTGCCCTGACTCTCAGTCCAGCCTTAATTCTCTAGAACAGGCGTCCCCAAACTTTTTACACAGGGGGCCAGTTCACTGTCCCTCAGACCGTTGGAGGGCCGCCACATACTGTGCTCCTCTCACCACCAGTGAAAGAGGTGCCCCTTCCTGAAGTGTGGTGGGGGGCCGGACAAATGGCCTCAGGGAGCCGCATGCGGCCCGCAGGCCGTAGTTTGGGGACGCCTGCTCTAGAACCTACCTCTAACCCAGCTAGAGTCATGCCTGCTACCTTGGCCTCCCACCAGGCCATCTGTGCTGGAGAATCGCAGGGATGGAGTGACCCCAAAGAGCAGCAGGGGAGCAAGGAACCTAGAAAGTGGGGGTGAGTCCACCACGGGGTACTGCTCTGAAGGAGAGGCCCACACTGGGGCTCATGTCTGCATTCTCAGCATGATGTGCTGGGGGCAGAGCATGGGGTGCATGCTGCTTACACCCCATTCCTACATGCTACACACACACTCCTCTGTCATACAGGACACCTGTCCCCATCAGAGCATGAGAGGAATGAAGCTGACACCAGTGTAGTGCCAGCAGCAAGGGGGAGCAGACGACTCCTCTTTCTGGGGAGGGGGTGGCCGGACGTACCTGCTCATACCAGGAGGCCACGGTGCTCTCCATGTACTGGTAGCTGGTGAAGAAGGCCACGATGCCATCAGGGACCACAGCGGACATCTCCAGCAGGAGGTTCCCATAGTTCCGGATCACAGCTGCAAGGGGTCAGACGTTGAGCCCTCTACTGGCCCAGGTCCACCTCCCTTCTCTGTCTTGGAACCGAGAGTTTCTGGAAACACCCCCGAGGTTGGCTATCAGGCTGTTCACACACATCCTGCTCCTCCTCCTGAGCCTGTTTGAGGACCCTCCCTGCCACCTCCTGAAGTCACACCTGGCTGTGACTCATGCCTGTAATCCCAGCACTTTGGGAGGCTGAGACGGGCAGATCATTTGAGGTCAGCAGTTTGAGACCAGCCTGGCCAACATGGAGAAACCCCATCTCTATTGAAAATACAAAAATTACTCAGGTGTGGTGGCGGATGCCTGTAATCCCAGCTACTTAGGAGGCTAAGGCAGGAGAACTGCTTGAACCTGTGAGGTGGAGGCACCTGTAATCCCAGCACTTTGGGAAGCCAAGGTAGGTGGATCATGTGAGGTCAGGAGTTTGAAACAAGCCTGGCCAACATGGCAAAACCCATCTCTACTAAAAAATACATACAAAAATTAGCAGGGCACGGTGGTGCATGCCTGTAATCCCAGCTACTAGAGGGCACTGAGGACAAGAGGATTGCTTGAACCTGGGAGGCGGAAGTTACAGTGAGCTGAAGTCAAGCCACTGCACCCAGCCTGGGAGACAGACCCTGTCTCAAAAAAAGGAAAAAAAAAAAAAAAAAGCCAGGCGTTGTGTCACCTGCTTGTAATCCCAGCTACTCAGCAGGCTGAGGCAGGAGAATCGCTTGAACCCAGGAGACGTAGGTTGCAGTGAGGTGAAATTGTGCCCTTGCACTCCAGCCTGGGCAACAGACTGAGACTCCGTCTTCAAACCAAGAAAAAAAAAAAAAAAAAAAAAAAGGCCATGTACTACTTCCAGGGGAGGACCAGTGCACAATTCACTGTGATCACCGTCATCCAGTCTGTCACATCCCTCTGCGTCTGACGCACCCAGTGGTGGAGGTTTCAAGGTAAGGAGACACAGGGCAGGCCCCCTACCAGCTCAGAGTAGATGTGTACCAAGGGCAAGAAGCAAGCTCTGGGCTAAGTAGCAGAGGCCAGGAATATTTGTTACAGCAGCGTGACTCAGCCCATCTGACTGACTGATACACCTCCCCTCTTGGAACCCACAGAAAGCAGCCCCACTGGCAGCATACCGATATCCTCCCGGGTCTCAAACTTGGAGCTGATGGCCACCTGGTCATTGCCTCGGCCGATGATCTGAAGAGAACAAGAGGTCACAATAAGTGAAGCAGCAGCAACTGCTCCAGTGTGCGAGTGCGGACCACCTGCGGGTGCTGTTCTAAGCTTTTTTTTTTTTTTTTGGAGAGAGTCTCTCACTGTCACCAGGCTGGAGTGCAATGGCTCAATCTCGGCTCACTGCAACCTCCGCCTCCTGGGTTCAAACCATTCTCCTGCCTCAGCCTCCAGAGTAGCTGAGACTATAGGTATGTGCCACCACACCCAGTTAATTTTTGTATTTTTAGTAGAGAGGGGGTTTCACCATGTTGGCCAGGATGGTCTCAATCTCTTGACTTCATGGTTTACCCACCTTGGCCTCCCAAAGTGCTGGGGTTACAGGTGTGAGCCACAACGCCTGGCCTGCTCTAAACACAGTGTCATTGAATTAACCCTCAGCTACCCTGTTATCTGCATTGCCCAAATAATCTGGGCTCAGAGAAGGTGAGTTGCCTGCCCAAGGTCACACAGCAAGTAAGTGGCAGAGCTGGGTGCAGTGGCTTATGCCTGTAATCCCAGCACTTTGAGAGGCCGAGGCAAGTGGATCACGAGGTCAGAGTTCAAGACCAGCCTAAGCAACATGGTGAAACCCTGTCTCTACTAAAAATACAAAAATTAACCGGCATGGTGACGCTTGCCTGTAATTCCAGCTACTCGGGAGGCTGAAGCAGGAGAATTACTTGAACTTGGGAGGCAGAGGTTACAGTGAGCCGAGATGTTGCCCCTGCACTCCAGCCTCGGTGACAGAGCAAGACTCCATCTCAAAAAATAAATTAAAAGGCCGGGTGTGGTGGCTCAAGCCTGTAATCCCAGAACTTTGGGAAGCCAAGGCGGGTGGATCATGAGGTCAAGAGATCGAGACCATCCTAGTCAACATGGTGAAACCCCATCTCTACTAAAAATACAAAAAATTAGCTGGGCATGGTGGAGCGTGCCTGTAATCCCAGCTACTCAGGAGGCTGAGGCAGGAGAATTGCCTGAACCCAGGAGGCGGAGGTTGTGGTGGGTCGAGATTGCGCCATTGCACTCCAGCCTGGGTAACAAGAGTGAAACTCCGTCTCAAAAAATAAATAGATAAATAAATAAAAATTAAAAAGTGGCAGAGATGGAACTGGACCTGAGCCTGTCCACACACTCGACCAGCAGCTACACTCTAGCCAGCCCCAGGCCAGCTGGATCCCAAAAAACACTTTCATATGCTGGAGGGCATCCCCGCCAGCCAGCAACCTTCATACAACCACCACACAGTGGGTGGTCATTACCAGTCCACAACCTCTGCCGGGCAATTCCAAAAGACACAAGCTCTGAACACCTTTCTTTTTCAAGCCTGGCACAAACTCACAAAGCAGCGAAACCTGCTCCAGGTGTCTCCCGAGTCCTGACTTACTCCGCAGTGCGGTGCATCCAAATCTTTTGCTGCCAAAACAGAAGTTTGACTGGGGGCATTACATACCACACAGCACATGCCTTGTCTCTAAAGCCTGGAACATTCTGAATTCCAAAACACATGGCCGGGCGTGGTGGCTCATGCCCAGAATCCCAGCACTTTGGGGGGAACAGGTGGGCGGATCACTTGAGGTCAGGAGTTTGAGACCGGCCTGGCCAACATAGTGAAACCCTGTCTCTACTAAAAATACAAAAATTAGCCAGGTGTGGTGGGGCAAAACTATAATCCCAGCTACTTGGGAGGCTGAAGCAGAATAAAATTGCTTGAATCTGGGAGGCGGAGGTTGCAGTGAGTGGAGATCTATACCACTGCACTCCAGCCTGGACAACAGAGCAAGACTCTGTCTCAAAACAGAAACAAAACAGCCTCAGGGCTTCAGATAAGGAAGTAAGCGCCCATGCTGACGTGCCCGTGTTACAGAGATGGAGAGGAAGGCCCACTTAACCTTTGCCAGACCATGTGCCCGGCAAAACCACATTAACCAAGATGCTGACCAAACGCCTACCTGTGCCAGGCCCTGGGCTACCTGTTTACCCCAGTTCTCTCTCTTAATTCTCTCAACAGCCCTGTGCGATCAGGGAGGATGTATCCCCATTTCACAGATGAGAAAACTGAGGCTTGAGAGATGCACCCACAGATAGGCAGAAGCAAGCCTAGGTCTGTATGAATCCTGAACTCAGGCTCTTCTGCCTGAGCAATGGGGGAAGCCAAGGAAGAAAGGAAGGAAGGTGGTCCCTGGCTCCCATCTCCTCTCCTGGCCCCAGCCTCAGCCTCTCCCACTCACCATAGGGCAGAGGCAGACCCGGGCCAGCGTCATGGTGAAGGTTGCCATGGTGACAGGGTGGAAATCCAGGATCTTGGGGTAGATGTCCAACGGGGACAGCGTCTGTAGTGGGGACAGTGGGAGGAATCTCAGCAGGACTGGGCAGGGACCAGGAGACCCATGGAGAAAGGCCAGGGACTGGGAGGGGACAGGGGAAGGGTCCTCACCCCAGACGTGATGATGACAGACTGGAAGCGCTCGAACACGGGTTTGATGGCCAGCGAGGCGTCCATGCAGCTGGACAGAGATGAGGGCGGTGAGGGCCGGGTGGGCTGGGCCCCCCACCCACAGGTCCTTCACACCCCCACCAGGTAGGGTCCCACCTGAAGTGCAGGATGGGGTTGGCAATGGTCGGGGTTCTGTCGTCAAAGGGCTCGATGATGATGGTGAATCCTGCAGAGGGCGGGCAAGGGCGGGTGACTCCCCCCCACTGCAGCCACAGCTGTGCTCACTCAGTTGTTCCCTCTCCTGCTCCCCTGCTTCACCCCAATCCCCACCTAGCACTGCCCAGGAGTGAATGGGACCAAACATCAGCTGCTTAAGCCCCAAACCCAGGCATCCGAGTCCAAAATACACCCCAGCCTGTCAGCCCGTCCACAGGGCCCACATCTGTGCAGACTTTCACAAAGGATCCCAAGTAGACCATGCCACAGCCCCACCCACTGCTCACTCTCCCAGCACCGAAGGGGCCACCCAGCACTCACACCAAAGCCAGGAGCCAGTGCCTCATGCCTTCTTCCGAGACCAGTTCTTGTTTGTTTATTTATTATTTTTGAGATCACTTTATCATCCAGGCTGCAGTGCAGTGGGCTGATTTCAGCTCACTGCAACCTCTGCCTTCCAGGGTTCAAGTGATTCTCCTACTCTGACCTCTCAAGTAATGCATTACAGGTATGCACCATCACACCCAGCTAATTTTTATATTTTTATTAGAAATGGGGTTCCACCATGTTGGCCAGGCTGGTCTCAAACTCCTGACCTCCAGTTATACCCCTGCCTCAGGCTCCCAAAGTGCTGGGATTACAGGCATGAGCCACTGTGACTGGCCTCCCGTAACCTTTCTACCTAAGCCATCAGCTCTGCCTCCAAAACCCACCGCAATCCAACCACTGCTCCCAGCCCTGCCCGGGGCCAGCCACCATCACCTCCTGCCTGAACCATCATGCCCTGCTCACTTCATGACAGCCAGAAGGGATCCTATGGAATCCTGAGTCCGGCCATGTCACCTCCCCACCCCAAGAAGCCTCCCATGGCCCCCACATGCCTTCAGTGGCCTCATGTCTGACCTTCAAAAAAACCACAGGCTCAGTGCCCCCAGGGCCTTTACGCTTGCTGGTCCCATGTGGCCTGGAAAACTCCCAAGTGACCCCACTTGGTCATCTGAGACTGCTCAAAAGTCAGCCCCTCAGTGAGGCCCTCCTCAGCCACCTTTTCTACGCAGACATATTCCAACACAACTTTATTTTTTTTCCATGATAACTGTCACTTTCTGGAATTATTTCCTCGTTTATTTTACTGCATCTTTGCTATTGGTTTTCCTCTCTGAAATACAAGTTCCAGAGGGGTAGGAATGAGATTTTTTTGGTTCCTGCTGCTTCCACAGTGCTGAGCCTGGCCCGTTTGTTGAAGAAATAAATGAATTAACTAACTTATATATTAAGTTTCACACAGTGAAAAAAAATCCAAGTCCTCTGTGCTGGGGACACAGAGGTGACCAAGCCAACCTTGCCTCTGCTCGCATGGGCTCAAAATCCAGGAGGAGGCTGGCTTGTCCCCAGATGGTGATGACTGAGTGGGCAACGCTGGGAAAGAGGTGCCTAGAGGAGGGGCCTGACTCAGCCTGAGGGTCAGAGAAGGCTTCCTGGTGGAGGAGACATCTCTACAGAGTTGAGAACCTAAGGATGGGGGGGAGGTGGTTGGGGGATGAGGAAGATGAGGAAGGATGCTCCAGGTCGAAGAACGTGAGGTGTTGGCAGATGGGAAATAGGGGGTAGAGAACGACAAAGGCAGGGATGGAAGATGGGGCAGGACAGAGGTAGAGGCAGCAGCCAGCAGGCTTCGCTCCTAACCAGCCCCAGGGCAGGCCCAGGTCTCCATCCTCCTGCCAGACCCCGACGTAGGACATTAGCCCCAACCCAGTGTCCTGGGTAGAGGAGAAGCCCCTAGGAGGCAGACTGAGCCCCTGGTCAACTTCATGCAGAGGGCGGGGAGGGAACACTGCCCATAAAGCCTCTAGAACCAAGCCCCTCTCCTGCAACCTGGAAATCTGAAAATCAGCTTCAACGCCTCTTGTCCCAGGTCCCACACCCGGGAACCATGCTCCCCATATCCCAGCTCCTACCTCCCACCTCTCTCTCCAAACCACACCCATCTCTCTCCCCTCCCCATGGTCACACCCTGGCCACGGCCCCTCCTCCCCTGCTCAGGCCTCTGACCACCACCCAGTCTCCTGCCTCTAGTCCCTGGAAGAAATCTTTTTTTTTTTTTTTTTTTTTTTTTTTTTTTGAGACAGAGTCTTGTTCTGTCCCCAGGCTGGAGTGCAGTGGTGTGATCTTGGTCACTGTAACCTCCACGTCCCAGGTTCAAGTAATTCTGTCTCAGCCTCCCAAACAGTTGGGACTACAGGTGCATGCCACCATGCCCAGACAATTTTTGTATTTTTAGTGGAGACAGGGTTTCACCATATTGGTCAGACTGGTCTCGAACTCCTGTCCTCAGGTGATCCACCAGCCTCAGCCTCCCAAAGTGCTGGGATTACAGGCATGGGCCACGAACCTGGCCCCCAGAAGAAATCTTTCTAAAGCACAAATCTGGGCCAGGTGCAGTGGCTCATACCTCTAATCACCACACTTTGGGAAGCCAAAGTGGGTGGATCGCCTGAGCTCAGGTGAAACCCTGTATCTCCTAAAAATACAAAAAAAATTAATTGGGTGTGGTGGTGCGAACCTCTAGTCCCAGCTACATGGGAAACTGAAACAGCAGAATTGCTTGAGTCCCAGAGGCGAAGGCTGCAGTGAGCTGAGATCGCACCACTGCATCCAACTTGGACTACAGAGTGAGACTCTGTTAAAAAAAAAAAAAAAAAAAAAAAAAAAATCACAGATCTGACCTGGTGCCTTGCTTGCTAGAACCTGCTATGGCTCCCCAGTGCCCTCAGGAACACAATGACCAACTCATTACCGTGCCCTCTAGTGTGAGCTGGCCCCAGAGAACTTCTCTCGCCCCATCCTCACTCTGCAGCCCAAGGAAGTCTGTGAAAATATAAATCTGAGCACAAGGCTTACTCAAGAACTATCTATGGCTCCCACTGCCTTCAAAATAGAGTTCACATTCCCCAGCCAAGCCCCACAAAGCCCTGCATGTCCAAGTTCCTGCCAACAACCCTCTAGACTCTGCTGGGATCCCGGTTCCAGCCGCTAGGAGGCCCAACGGGGACAGAAAGAGGTGAGCTTACCCTTGGCGTAGGTGCTGACGAGGGTGGCAAAGTTGGCAAGGAGGGTGAGCGGGGAGAAGTCGGCCAGGTCGGTGATCTCCAGCGTGTGCAGCAGGGAGCGGAGGCGTTCAGCACAGAATCTGGTGGGAAGGAGAGACGGGGTCAGGGGGCAGATGGAAACCACCAACAGGTCCAGCAGCCCTGCCTCCGCCATCACCGCACACGGTCACGTGCCTGTCTCCCCAGGCAATGGGCACTCGGTAAGGCCGGACACCAGGCCTGTGTTGGAAACTGGCATCCCCACGCTGTACACCTGCATGTCACACAGCCACTGCCTCACGAGGGCACAGAGAGCAATAATCAGACACCCCAGAGTCATTTGGTCACTTGTCAAACATGCTGGCACAACTGCCTAAGCAGGTTCTTATCAAGAGACTCACAATCACACCCAGAACCCGAAGTCATGGCTTTAATCCTGTACGGCCACACGGCCACACACTCACACCCGGAACCTCTCCCACCGCCTCTCATGCACCTGTGGTGACACACAGTGTGGGAAGCCCATGGGCTCACAGAGGAATGCAGCCATCACTCACATCCCGCAGAGCCCCACGAACACTGCACCCACACACTCGGGCACGTGCACGGCGCTCAACCCTACCGCACACAAGCTGAGGCTCTCGGCCTCAGGGACGTGTCATGGAGCAGCTGGCTTTGAAGCCAGGCAGGCAGTCACACCTGCAAACCAGCCTCCCGCACTTCAGCCCTTCCAGCCTGGCTGGTCACTAGCTGGGGATGAGTCTGTCCCCTCCACTGAGCCACAGGGATCTCAGTCACTCAACAGATATTCCCCACGCGCCTGCTCTATGGCTGTGTCGCCGGCATAGAGCAGGCACTTGGGAATGTCTGTTGAGTGACTGAGATCCCCTCTTTGCCCTCCCAAGTCTCCAATCCTGGGGGAGATGGGCAAAGCCACCCGGATGGCGGCCTCCCCCGCCGAGGCAGGGCGGCCAGGGCCTTTGGAGCCCACAGGCCTGGCTTCAAGCCACAACTACCAGGCACAGTGCAGCGTGGCTCTGGGCAAAAGCTTCCCCTCTGGGAGCCCCAGTGTCCTCATTTGCAGCAGGCAGGGGGTTCCGTACTGGGGCTGCTATTGAGTTAAGGAACATGAGGGGCTTAGCTCCTCCTCAGTGCTGGGGGTGGGGGGGTGGGGCAGGTGGTTGGCCTGGCTGCCCTCTCATTCACCACCACAGAAGCCTGTGAAGTCAAGATCCGACTCCTTGGCCATTTTACAAAGGAGGAAACTGCAGCTCAGAGAAGACCCATGACTTACCCAAAGAAGCCCTGTCCTATCCCTTGGTCATTCTCTGCCTGCCCTGTGCCTCGAGAGACTGACTCCCCAGAATGGGCCCAGACAGCTCCATGAGGACGCCCTGCCCTCAGCTTGGAAGATTAGAAGCACTGGTAGGAAGAGACATTCTCCGGGGCCGCCTCCCCCAGCTCCCGGTCCGGGAGGCAGGCGCAGGTTCTGGTTTCAGCTCCCAGCAGGAGCCTCTGCCCAGGCCCTGAACAGCTGGTTCTCAGCGTTCCCAACACACTCCCTCCCTGCCGCTGCGGCGGGCCTAGCTCAGCGCTCCCACCTCCCACCCTCCTTGGTTCCTCCCCCAGCCTGCCCCTCTGGAAATGATGCCCCCACTACTCTCTCTTGGGTGGGGTAGATTTTCCACTCCAGCCAGGTGTTGCCAGCCAGGCCCCGGCCCAATGCAGGGACGCAGGACCAGCACCAACCTTGCTCCTGGACCTGCCCAGTTAGACCGGCCAGGGCCCCATGTGCCTGGCCCAGCTCACTCACTCCTGACGCTGGTAATAGTGACCCGGGGCTACAGGCACGGAGGACGTGGCTCTGCATAACTGGGACCTGCCCGAACGCCCACACCCCCGCTGTCTGCGGCCGCACCTGAGGGGCTTGCGCTGGATGCACACGCGCTGGGCCAGGCCGCTCAGAAAGGCTGGTGGGCTCTCCTGCACCACGTGCTGCACGCGCAGCCGCCACTTCACGTACTCCAGCAGCCGCCGCAGGAAGCCCAGGAAGTGCTCAGCTGTGCGGATGGAGCCTGGCACCGCCTCTGCGAGGAGATGAGGAGACGCAGTCAGCCGCCACGGGGGAGGCGGGAAAGGGACTGGAGGGCAGCGGGAAGTGGGGGCTCACCCTGCAGCACCTCATCGGGCAGCACAGGGTTGGCCAGGTGGGCGTCCGTCTCCCGGGCGGCGCTGGCCTCCCGCAGCCCCTCCACCAGGCGCCGGTACTCATCCCGCAGGCGCTGCTCATCTGTCTCTTTGATCCTGCGGGAAGATGAGCTGGGGCTGGGACTTGGCTGGCAACCCTGGGGACAAGTAAGACAGAGGACAGGGTCCCAGCCATCCCCGGCCCCACCTGAGCACCGTCTTCTGCAGAGTCTCCAGGTTGCCCTGGCATCGGTCAAGGGTCCGGCGGGTGAGGTTGACGCTCATGGAGTCGATGCAGACATTGTCTGGAGAAGGGGGAACAGCGTCGGCTCAGGCAGGTCCGCAGGGGCCTGTCAGAGGGGCTGGCGTCCCTTTGGCCCCTGGCGCCCCCCTCACCAATGTTGTGGGCCTCATCGAAGACCACGACGGCCTTGCGGGCCAGTTCCTTGGACACCAGGTCTGCAATCTTGGGGTCCAGGAGGTAGTGGTAGCTATAAACCACCACGTTAGCATGCAGGATCTGCAGGGGCGGGAAGCAGGGTTACCAGGGCCCTGTCACCGCGACCCCTACCCCTTCCCCCGGCCACACTGCCCCGTCACTCCTGCACAAGCTGGCAGAGGCAGACATGGCCAGGGCCCCACGTACCTGGCCCAGCTCACTCACTCCTGACGCTGGTAATAGTGACCCGGGGCTACAGGCATTGAGGACATGGCTCTGCATGACTGGGACCTGCCTGATTATGCCAGGCACAAATACGAGCAGATGGACAGAGACAGACTAACAGACACAGCCACCCACCAACAGGGAGACACAGGCAGGCTGACTCACAGCAAGCAACAGACAGACATGGGCAGACAGGAGACGGGCAGGCAGCCCAAACCCTCACGCTCCCCCCTCTGCCTGCCCCACCGTTCTCACTGAATATCGGGCAAGGAAGTACGGGCACCAGCCGTGGTGTCGCCCCAGCGCCTTCAGGTCATCCAGGTTGTAGATGCCAGGAGGGAGGGGCACCTCACGCCCATGGGTGTCAAATTCCTGGGACAAGAGTGCCAGGGGTCAGAGAGGCTGCCCCGGGTGTCACCGCCCTGCCTCCCTCCCTCAGCCCTGCCCTCTAGGCACCTCATAGAAGCGGCAGTGGGGCAGGCTGGTGTCATGCTGGTACTGCGCCCGCACATAGGAGGCTGTGAGGCTGTGGCATTTCCCATCAACGTCCTTCCCAAAGCGCAGGGGTGTCACCTGAGGGTGCAGGATATCTTAGCACCCAGACAGGCTGGAAGCCCAACCACTCTTCAAACCCAGGCCTCCACACCTCCCAGCTGGCTGGGGTTACGGACAACTGGAACCTGTCTGTTGCATTATTAGTTAAGACATGTGGGAACTTAATGCAGGGATAGAGACAAGAGTAGTAAACTTGGACCAGGCGGGGTGGCTCACGCCTATAATCCCAGCACTTCGGGAGGCCAAGGTGGGCAGATCACAAGGTTAGGAGTTCGAAATCACCCTGGCCAACGTGGTGAAACCCCATCGGTACCAAAAATACAAAAATTAGCTGGGTGTGGTAATAGGCACCTGGAATCCCAGCTACTCGGGAGGCCGAGGCAGGAAAATCGTTTGAACCCAGGAGGCAGAAGCTGCAATGAGCCAAGATCATGCCACTGCACTCCAGCCTGGGCGACAGGGTGAGACTCCCTCTCAAAAAAAAAAAAAAAAGTAAAATTGTAACAGCCTTACAACTCCAAGTCATACATAGATACTTTTGGAGACAGGTCCCTCTGCTCCTCAGGCTGGAATGCAGTGGCACAATAATGGCTCACTATAGCCCTGATCTCCCAGGCTAAGTGGTCCTTCACCTCTCAGCCTCCTGAGCAGCTGAGGCCACAGGTATGCACCACCACGCCCAGCTAGTATTTGTCTTTTAGTAGAGAAGGTCTTGCTATGTTGTCCAGGCTGGTCTCAAACTTCTGGCCTCAAGCAATCCTCCCGCCTTAGCCTCCCAAAGTGTTGGGATGACAGGTATGAGCCACTGCACACAGCCAAAAGTTGTTTGTTTTTTGAGAGGAGTTTCGCTCTTGTTACCCAGGCTGGAGTGCAATGGCACGATCTCGGCTCACCGCAACCTCTGCCTCCTGGATTCAGGCAATTCTCCTGCCTCAGCCTTCTGAGTAGCTGGGATTACAGGCACGCACCACCATGCCCAGCTAATGTTTGTGTATTTTTATTAGAGACGGGGTTTCACCATGTTGACCAGGATGGTCTCGATCTCTTGACCTCGTGATCCACCCGCCTCGGCCTCCCAAAGTGCTGGGATTACAGGCTTGAGCCACCGCGCCCAGCGTTTTTTGTTTTTTTTTTTTTTTGAGATGGAATGCAGCGGCGTGACTTCAGTTCACTGCAACCTCTGCTTCTCAGGTTCAAGCAATTCTCCCGCCTCAGCCTTCCAAGCAGATGGAATTTCAAGTGCCTGCCACCGTCGCCTGGCTTTTTTTTTTTTTTTTTTTTTTTTTGAGTTTTGCTCGTTGCCCAGGCTGGAACGCAATGGTGCAATCTCAACTCACCGCAACCTACGCTTCTCGGGTTCAAGCAATTCTTCTGCCTCAGCCTCCTGAATAGCTGGGATTACAGGCATGTGCCACCATGCCCTGCTAATTTTGTATTTTTAGTAGAGATGGGGTGTCACCATATTGGTCAGACTGGTCTCAAACTCCTGACCTGAGGTGATCCACCCACCTTGGCTTCCCAAAGTGTTGGGATTATAGGTGTGAGCCACCGTGCCCAGCCAGCCAAAACTAGTATTTTTTTTTTTCCCCGAGACAGAGTTTCACTCTTGTTACCCAGGCTGGAGTGCAATGGCGCGATCTCGGCTCACCGCAACCTCCGCCTCCTGGGTTCAGGCAATTCTCCTGCCTCAGCCTCCTGAGTAGCTGGGACTACAGGCGTGCGCCACCATGCCCAGCTAATTTTTTGTATTTTTAGTAGAGATGGGGTTTCACCATGTTGACCAGGATGGTCTCGATCTCTTGACCTTGTGATCCACCCGCCTCGGCCTCCCAAAGTGCTGGGATTACAGGCTTGAGCCACCACGCCTGGCCCAAAACTAGTATTTTTAAAACAGTAAACCAAGAAAAATCTTTAGCATGTAGGTTGAGGATAACTACTTCATCCTTGGAAATGCTAAAACACATGAAACCTAGGCAGGGCCTAAGAATCAAAGGAGGTTCTGCACAGTCTAGGACTCCCCTTGCCCCTCGACAGCTCTGTACCCTCTAAGGCAACATCACAGTTTTTTGTTGTTTTTTTTTGAGACGGAGTTTCGCTCTTGTTACCCAGGCTGGAGTGCAATGGCACGATCTCGCTCACCGCAACCTCCACCTCCTGGGTTCAGGCAATTCTCCTGCCTCAGCCTCCTGAGTAGCTGGGATTACAGGCACGTGCCACCATGCCCAGCTAATTTTTTGTATTTTTAGTAGAGACGGGGTTTCACCATGTTGACCAGGATGGTCTCGATCTCTCGACCTCGTGATCCACCCGCCTCGGCCTCCCAAAGTGCTGGGATTACAGGCGTGAGCCACCGCGCCCGGCCATCACAGCTTTTTTTAAGGCTATGTTTCTGAAGAACAAATCCTTTTCCCTACACCAAAGGGAAAAAGCTCTAAGGCAGCCAGCCCTTCCCTCTCCATTTCCCCTTGCATCAGTCACCGAGGCCTGTGCTCTTTGTCACTCACTAGCTGTATCATTTCTCATATATTCTTACAAATAATGTGATGTAACATACATTCTGTGAGCCCAGTGTGGCGGCTCATGCCTCTAATTCTAACACTTTGGGCGGCTTGGGTGGAAGGATCACTTGAGCCCAGGAATTCAAGACCAGCCTGAATAAAATGGTAAGACCCATCTCTACTGGGTGGCGGGGGGGATAGCCAATGAGGCTGGGCACAGCGGCTCACACCTGTAATCCTAGCACTCTGGGAAGCTGAGGTGGGCGGATCACCTGAGGTCAGGAGTTCGAGATCAGCCTGGCCAACATGGTGAAACCCCATCTCTGCCAAAAAATACAAAAAGTTAGCCAGGCGTGGTGGTGGGCACCTGTAATCCCAGCTAACTCAGGAAGCTGAAGCAAGAGAATCACTTGAACCTGGGAGGCAGAGGTTGCAGTGAACCAAGATCACACTCCAGTCTGGGCAAGAGGAGTGAAACTCTGTCTTAAAAAAAAAAAAAAAAAAAAAAGGCCAGGCGCAGTGGCTCAAGCCTGTAATCCCAGCACTTTGGGAGGCCGAGGCGGGTGGATCACGAGGTCAAGAGATCGAGACCATCCTGGTCAACATGGTGAAACCTCGTCTCTACTAAAAATACAAAAAATTAGCTGAGCATGGTGGCGCGTGCCTGTAATCCCAGCTACTCAGGAGGCTGAGGCAGGAGAATTGCCTGAATCCAGGAGGCGGAGGTTGCGGTGAGCCGAGATCGCGCTATTGCACTCCAGCCAGCCTGGGTAACAAGAGCAAAACTCCATCTCAAAAAAAAGAAAATACACACACACACACACACACACACAGACATATAAAATATATATATATATACACATATATATGTATTATACATATATACATTATATATGTTCTGTGAAAACAGTACCTGGCACACAGTGAGTACAATGGTTTTATAGCATAATAACTAATGTTGTATTTGTCATATATTATGCATACAAATATGACAATTTTTTTTTTTTTTTGACAGAGGCTCACTCTATGCGCAAAGCTGGAGTGCGGTGGTGTGACCTCAGCTCACTGTCACCTCTCCCTCCCAGGTACAAGCAATCGGGATTACTGACATGTGCACCACCACGTTTTGTATTTTTAGAAGAAACGGTGTTTCACTGTGTTGACCAAGATGGTCTGGGACTCCTGACCTCAAGTGGTCTGCCCACCTCAGCCTCCCAAAGTGCTGGGATTATAGGCATGAGCCACTGCACCCAGCCTATCATGACAATTTCTAATATTCTTTTTTTTCTTTTTTGAGACAGTCTTGCTCTGCCACCAGGCTGGAGTGCAGTAGCACAGTCTCAACTCACTGCAACCTCAGCCTGCTGGTTCAAGTGATTCTTCCGACTGAGCCTCCCAAGTAGCTGGGACTACAAATGAGCACCACCACACCTGGCTAATTTTTGTATTTTTAGTAGAGATGGGGTTTCACCATGTTGGCCAGGCTGGCTTCAATCTCCTGACCTTGTGATCTTCCTGCCTTGGCCTCCCAAAGTGCTGGGATTACAGGCGTAAACCACCACGTCTGGCAACACTTTCTAACATTCTTTAGCTCTTTGTACAGGCTAAAGGCATCGGCTGCATCATTTTGCCCAATTTTATCATCAGCAACCTTATGAGGCAGATAAATAATTAGCCCCATTTTACAGAAAGGAAGGCTGAGGCCCAGGTGGCAGAAAACACCTCTCCAAAAGTACCCTGCTAGTAAGTTTCAGAGCCTGGAAACCAGGCCTGTCAGAGACTGCAAGAGGTGGCTTAACCTCTTCTAAGCCTGGGTAGAATTGGAAGGCTCCCTGGAGGAGGTGTGCTTGCCTGGGCCAGGATGAATGAGAATTGGACCATTGAGTGGGAATTCTGTGTGTAGCCATTGCATGCCTTTACAAGAGGTTCAGCCTGGGGATCTAGGACTTGTGGCTGGACAAAAGAGTTTCCTCTACCTCTGGGCTAAGGGCAGGGAGAAGGAACAGTTGCTCACCTCAGGGTGAATACACAAGTTTTTGCGGGAGCTCAGAGCCAGCCCCAAAAACGGCAGCTTCTCGCCCTCCTGCTTCTCATAAAAGTTCAGCAACTTTCGAAGCTCTTCGATCACCTACTCCAAAGTTGGGGGAGCAGGGGGAGCTTGTGTTCATTGGAGGCATACACCCCTGCCCTGCCAGGCCGCAGCCTCTTCCCCAGCTTCCCAAATGCCCCCCCCCACAGCGGGTGACAGCCACCACCAGGGGGACCAATGGGCCCCAGGGGACAGTAGGGGCTGGAGCACCAGGAGCAGTCCGGGCTCACCTTCTCAATCTCTGGCACAGTTCTTGAGCAGTAGATGAGTTTGGTCACCTCCAGCGGATACGCCTACCAATGACAAGCAGACCCACTGTTACTGGCAGGTGTATCTGCTGGAGGTTATGCCTCCCTGTCCCGCCTCTCCCTTGTCTGCCTTTCTGGGTTCAGTGTGTCACTCACCCGCTGGTATGCCATGATCAGGGCCAACAGGGACACTGTCTTCCCAGTGCCTGAGGGCATCTCCAGCACTCCATGGCCCTGCGTGTTGGGGATCAGAGGAGCAACACACAAGGTCTCAGTACCTTGGGCACACAAACTCTGGGGACTCTCCCCCATCCCCAATGCCACCAACTGGGAACAGCAAGGTAACACAGGAGCAGTTAAGACTGGGCAGTGAGGCAGCAGGTTTGAACCGCACTTCTGCCACCTCCTTGAGTGGTCTTAGTCAAGTACTTTCTCCTCACTGGACTTCAGTATTCCTATCTCCAAAATGGACCTAAGGCCGAGCGCAGTGGCTCACGCCTGTAATCTCAGCACTTTGGGAGGCTGAGGCAGGTGGGTCACCTGAGGTCAGAAGTTCGAAACTAGCCTGGCCAACATGGTAAAACCCCATTTCTACTAACAATACAAAAAGTTAGCTGGGCATGGTGGCACATGCTTGTAATCCCAGCTACTCAGGAGACTGAGCCAGGAGAATGGCCTGAACCCAAAAGGTGGAGGTTGCAGGGAACTATCATGCCATTGCACCCCAGCCTGGTAACAAGAAGGAAATTCAGTCTCAAAAATAAAATAAAATGGGCCCACAAAGAAAAGAAAAAACAAAAACAAAAAATAAAATAAAATAAAATGGGCCTAATGGTAAAACCTTCCTCATAACATGACTTTGTGAATTTGGAAGAAATTACAGGTTAAATATTTGGCAAAATAGCCGATATATAGTGAACTTTTCTCCCTTTTTTTTTTTTGAGACAGTCTGGCTCTGTCACCAGGCTGGAGTGCAGTGGTGTAATCTCAGCTCACTGCAACCTCCGCCTCCCAGGTTCAAGCGATTCTCCTACCTCAGCCTCCCGAGTAGCTGGGACTACAGGAGTCCATCACCATGCCCAGCTAATTTTTGCATTTTTAGTAGAGATGGGGTTTCACCATGTTGGCCAGGACGGTCTCCATCTTCTGACCTTGTGATCCACCCACCTCGGCCTCCCAAAGAGCTGGGATTACAGGGATGAGCCACCACACCCGGCTTCTCCTTCTTAAGAGACAAGTCTCACTCTGTTGCCCAGGCTGGAGTGCAGTGGCACAATCATGACTCACTGCAGCCTCTATCTCCTGGCCTCGAGCAATCCTCCTGCCTCAGCATCCGGAGCAGTGGGAACTACAGGCAACCACCACCACACCTAGCTAATTTTCTAATTTTCTAATTTTCTGTAGAGATGGGATCTTGCCGTGCGGCCCAGGCTTATCTCCAACACCTGGCCCAAGTGATTCTCCAGCCTCCACCTCCGGCCAAAGTGCTGAGATTGCAGGCATGAACCACTGCGTCCAGTCTATTAACCATTATTATTTTATTTTTGAGACCAAGTCTCACCCTGTCGCCCAGGCTGGAGTGCAAGGGTGCAATCTCAGCTCACTGCAATCTCCACCTCCCGGGTTCAAGCGATTCTCCTGTCTCAGCCTCCTGAGTAGCTGGGAATACAGGTGTCCACCATCACACCCAGTTAATTTTTGTATTTTTAGTAGAGACGGAGTTTCACCATGTTGACCAGGCCGGTCTCCAACTCCTGACCTCAAGTGATCCCCCCGCCTCGGCCTCCCAAAGCGCTGGGATTACAGGCACGAGCCACGGAGCCCAGCCTATTCACCACTTTAGATAACAGAAGATTATGGGGTCCTGGATTCCCAAGGACCTTGGGACGTCCAGACGTCCTGCAATCTGTCTTAGACCCAGGCGAGGCAGCCCTAGCGGTCGAGCGGCCGGCGCGGGTCCCCTGGCCACCCACCTTGGCGTCCAGCGTGCGTTTGAGCTCCCGCATGTAGGAGAACTGCTCGGGGTAGATGTAGTCGTACGGGAAGTAGACCAGCAGCCCGTCCACGTTGAGCCTGGCAGCAGGGACTGTGGGGTCAGTTCCCGTCCCCTCCGCCCCTCTCCCGCCTCCACACTGCCCCCACATCGGGCCCAGAAGGGTGACCCGCCCGGCGCCCCGGTTACGCCCCGTTCTCAGAAGCCTCGGGGTTCCCTCAGTGTCTCCTCGCTCTTACCGCTGCTCCCCGCGGTTGCCCCCGCCCCACCCCTTCAGCCTCCACTTGCCCCCCCCGCCCCTGGAACCCAGGCGCGCCCACCGGTGCCCCCATCTTCAAGACCCCCCGCGAACGCTAAGGAGCCGCGACCCCCCGCAGCCCACTGCTCACTTCATGGCGTCTGCCCGGCAGTGCGGCGGCGTCGGCCCGCCTCCCTCATGAATATTCAACGAGAGGCCGGGTCGCGGGCATCTTCGAGAACCCGCTCCGCATACGTTACAACGCCATTGGCCGATTTTGGCCGTCAATCCGCTGGGACAGAACCAATCGGATGCTGCGCTTGCGCACGAAAAAGAGAGGGCAGCGGACTCTCGGGAGAGGCGGTGCGGGAGGCGTCACTGAGGATCGTCGAGGGCCAATCAAAGACAGAACGTGAAAGAAAGAGCGCAGAGAGCATCGATCTCATTCGTTAGAATTTGCTACTCCTGCGCCGGCCAAGATTGTTTTAGTGTTAATTGAACCCACGTGTCCGAGACCAGCCTGAGCAAGATAGCGAGACGCCCACCCCCCCACCCCAACCTCATCTCAATAAATAAATAAATAAATAAATAAATAAAATTGAGTAGTGAAGAGAGTCTAACGGGGAATGACAGGGAAATTGGTGATCCTTTCTAGGCCCGAGAGTTAGAAATGCCTTTGCCAAACCAAAAATGCATTTATAAAATACCTGCTGTAAATCAAAAAAGTAATAAAAATAATTTTAAATAAAATACAAACAAATAAATGAAAACAAAACAAAATAAAATAAAATAAATGGGGCCGGACACGGTGGGTCTCGACTGTAATCCCAGCACTTTGGGAGGTCGAGGCGTGCAGATCACGAGGTCAGGAATTCGAGATCAGCCTGGCCAAGAGACCAACCTGTCCAATATGGTAAAACCCCATCTCTACTCAAAATACAAAAATTAGCCAGGCTTGGTGGCGAGTACCTGTAATCCCAGGTACTTGGGAGCCTGACGCAGGAGAATTGCTTGAAGAAAGGAGGCGGAGGTTGTAGTGAATCCAGATGTCGACAGAGCGAAACTCAGTCTCAAAACTAAAATAAAATAACAATGGTTAATAGGCTGGGCACGGTGGTTCGTGGCTGTAATCCCAGGAGAATTACTTGAACCTGGGGAGGCAGAGGTTGCAGTGAGCCAAGATCATGTCATTGCAATCCTGCCTGGGCAACAACAGAGTGAGAATCCGACTCAAAATAAATAAATGGTCAAAATGATATAAAATATGTACTGTGTCCTAGACTACTATGGTATAAAAAACTTATAAACAGCCCTTCCTATTTCATGAGTACCTACTGTTAGCCAAATACAGTGATAGGCATTTTAATCAGGGAGTAATGGAAAGGCCCTGTGGTATAGTGGCTAAGTTTCAGGCTCTGGAAGCGAAGCTCCTGGGTCCAAATCCTGGCTCCACCGTATTAACTGTGTAATTTTTGTTTTTTTTTTGAGATGGAGTTTTGCCCTTGTTACCCAGGCTGGAGTCCAATGGCACATTCTCAGCTCGCTGCAACCTCTGCCTTCCAGTTCAAGCGATTCTCCTGCCTCAACCTCCTGAGTACCTGGAATTACAGGTGCCCGCCACCACACCTGGCTAATTTTTATATTTTTGTATTTTTAGTAGAGACAGGGTAACACCATGTTGGTCAGTCTGGTCTCAAACTTCTGATCTCAGGTGATACACCTTCCTCAGCCTCCCCAAGTGTGATGATTACAGACATGAGCCACCGCACCCAGCCTAACTATGTGATCTTGATCAAATTACTTAACTTCTCTGGGGTTTCACTTTCTTTTTTTTCTTTTTTTTTTTTTGAGATGGAGTTTCGCTCTTGTTACCCAGGCTGGAGTGCAATGGCGCGATCTCGGCTCATCTCAACCTCCGCCTCCTGGGTTCAAGCAATTCTCCTGCCTCAGCCTCCTGAGTAGCTGGGATTACAGGCACGCGCCACCATGCCCAGCTAATTTTTTGTATTTTTAGTAGAGACGGGGTTTCACCATGTTGACCAGGATGGTCTCGACCTCTCGACCTTGTGATCCACCCGCCTCGGCCTCCCAAAGTGCTGGGATTACAGGCTTGAGCCACCGTGCCCGGCCCGGGTTTCACTTTCTTATCCACAAAGTAGTAACAATCCGACTATCTACAATGCATTTGCTACAGTAGTTACAGTAGTCTAGCGTTACAGTAGTCTGTTATTAGAGACTATTACTATTTTTTTTTTTTTTTTTTTTTTTTTTTTTTGAGACGGAGTTTCGCTCTTGTTACCCAGGCTGGAGTGCAATGAAGCGATCTCAGCTCACCGAAACCTACACCTCCTGGGTTCAAGCAATTCTCCTACCTCAGCCTCCTGAGTAGCTGGGACTACAGACACGCACCACCATGCCCAGCTAATTTTTTGTATTTTTAGTAGAGACGGGGTTTCACCATGTTGACCAGGATGGTCTGGATCTCTTGACCTCGTGATCCACCCGCCTCGGCCTCCCAAAGTGCTGGAATTACAGGTGTGAGCCACTGATCCCGGCCTAGAGACTATTACTATTGTTAATTAGACTGTTACTATTGCAATAGTCTAATTGTTAATCAGGTGACTTAATTTAAAATCACATAGGTCTGGTTCGGTGGCTCATGCTGGTAATACCAGCACTTTGGGAAGCCAAGGTGGGCAGACCAGGAGGTAAATAGATTGAGACCATCCTGGCCAACATGATGAAACCCTGTCTCTAAATTTTGATAAAAATACAAAAATTATCTGGGCATGGTGGCTTGCGCCTGTAGTCCCAGTTACTTGGGAGGCTGAGGTAGGAGAATTGCTTGAATCCTGGAAGCGGAGGTTGCAGTGAGCTGAGATCACACCACTGCACTCCAGCCTGGCATCTGGCAACACAGCAAGACTCTGTCTCAAAAAAAAAAAAAAAAAAAAAAAAAAAAAAAAAAAAAAAAAAAACTCACAGAAAGCAGTTAAAACTGGGGTTAGCACATAGTAAGTGTTCAATAAATACTAGTTTGGCTAGGCATGGTGGCTCATGCCTGTAATCCCAGCATTTTGGGAGGCTGAGGTGGGTGGATCACTTGAGGTCAGGAGTTCCAGACCAGCTTGACCAATGTGGTGAAACCCCGTCTCTACTAAAAATATTTTCAAAATTAGCTGGGTGTGGTGGTGCACACCTGTAGTCCCAGCTACTCAGGAGGCTGAGGCAGGAGGATCACTTGAGCTCAGGAGACAGAGGCTTCAGTGACCAAGAGCATGCCACTGCACTCCAGCCTGGGTTACAGAGGGAGAGTCTGCCTCAAAAAAAAATCATAAATAAATAAATGCTGGTGTTTGTTTGTTCAACAAATAGCGACATTTACCATGTGCCTGATTCTTCGCTGGTCCCTCAGAACAGAAAGGTGACCATGACAGCCTCAGCACCCGCCCTCAAATAACAGATTTTTTTTTTTTTTTTTTTTTTTTTTGCCAGTCTCCATGCCTCACACCTATAATCCCAGCACGTTGAGAGGCCAAGGCAGGCGAATCACCAAAGGTCAGGAGTTTGAGACTAGCCTTACCAACATGGAGAAACACCATCTCTACTAAAAATATTAAATTAGCGGGGCATTGTGGTGGATGCCTGTAATCCCAGCTACTCGGGAGGCTGAGGCAGGAGAATTGCTTGAACCCAGGAGGCAGAGGTTGCAGTGAGCCAAAATCGTGCCATTGCACTCTAGCCTGGGCTACGGAGAGAGACTCTGTCTCAAAAACAAACAAAAAACAACAACAACAACATTTTTTTTCTCTCTCTCTTTTATTTTTTTTCCTTGAGACAGGGTCTTACTCTGCTGCCAAGGCTGAAGTCCAGTGGCACAATCACAGCTCACTGCAGCCTCCACCTCTTGTGCTCAAGTGATCCTCCCTCCTCAGCCTCCCGAATAGCTTGGACCACAGCTGTGCACCACCACGTTTGACTAATTTTTAAAAACATTTTGTAGGCCGGGCGTGGAGGCTCAAGCCTGTAATCCCAGCACTTTGGGAGGCCGAGGTGGGTGGATCACGAGGTCAAGAGATCAAGACCATCCTGGTCAACATGGTGAAACCCCGTCTCTACTAAAAATACAAAAAAATTAGCTGGGCATGGTGGCACGTGCCTGTAATCCCAGCTACTCAGGAGGTTGAGGCAGGAGAATTGCCTGAACCCAGGAGGCGAAGGTTGCGGTGAGCCTAGATGGCGCCATTGCACTCCAGCCTGGGTAACAAGAGTGAAACTCCATCTCAAAAAAAAAAAAAAAACATTTTGTGTAGAGACAAGGTCTCACCATGTTGCTCAGGCTTGTTAAACTCTTGGGTTCAAGTGATCCTCTCCACTCAGCCTCTCAAAGTGTTGGGATTACAAGAATAAGCCACCAGGCCTGGCTTCAAATAACATATTAAACATACAAATAAATATATGATTCCAGCTTGGTGTGGTGGCTCCCGCCTGCAGCACTTTGGAAGGCTAAGGCGAGTATGTCTCGAGCTCTGGACTTCGAGACTAGCCTGGGCAACATGGTGAAAACCCATCTCTACAAAAAATACAAAAATTAGCTGGTTGCTGTGGTGTGCACGTGTAGTCCCAGATACTCAGGAAGCTGAGGTGGGAGAATCACTTGGGCGTGGGAGGCAGAGGTTGCAGTGGGTGGTGATTGCGCCCCTGCATTCCCACCTCAGCAACAGGAGTGAAACTGCCACAAATATGTGTGTGTGTGTGTGTGTGTGTGTGTGTGTGTGATCAAAGTGCAAAAACGCTATAAAGAAAAACTTCAAGACACCATAAAGATTTATTACAGGCCTGGCACAGTGGCTCATGCCTGTAATCCGAGCACTTTGGGAGGCCAAAGCAGGTGGATCACGAGGTCAGGAGTTCAAGACCAGCCTGGCCAAGATGGTGAAATCCCATTTCTACTAAACATACAACAGTTAGCCAGGCATGGTGGTGGGTGCCTATAATCCCAGCTACTGAGGAGGCTGAGACAGGAGAATCGCTTGAACCAGGAAGGTAGAGGTTGCAGTAAGCTGAGATTGCAGCACTGCACTCCAGTCTGGGCAACCGAGACTCCATCTCAGAAAAAAAACAGAGCCAGGCATGAGTGCATGTGT